TGCCACTCAAACTGCACACTAACACTAACCATACAATATAGACTATACCACACAAACTGTACACTAACACTCACCATTCAATGTACACAATACCACTCAAACTGCACACTAACACTCACCATACAATATAGACTATACCACACAAACTGTACACTAACACTCACCATACAATATAGACTATACCACACAATCTGCAGACTACTACTCACCATTCAATATAGACAATACCACTCAAACTGCACACTAACACTAACCATACAATATAGACTATACCACACAAACTGTACACTAACACTCACCATACAATATAGACAATACCACTCAAACTGCACACAAACACTAACCATACAATATGGAATATACCACTCAAACTGCAGACTACCACTCACCATTCAATATAGACAATACCACCCAAACTGCACACTGACACTCACCATACAATATAGACTATACCACACAATCTGCACACTAACACTCACCATTCAATATAGACAATACCACTCAAACTGCACACTAACACGCCCCATACAATATAGACTATACCACACAAACTGTACTCTAACACTGACCATACCTTACAGACTATACAACACAAACTGTCCAGTAACAGTCACTATACAATACAGACTTTACCGCACAAACTGTACACTAACACTAACCATACAATACAGACTGTACCACACAGACTGTCCACTTTAACAATCACCATATAACATAGGCTATACCACACAAACTGTCCTCTTTAACACTCCCCATACATTATAAATTATACCACACAAACTGTCCACTTTAACACTCACCATACAATATAGACTATACAACACAAACTGTACACTTTGAACACTCACCATACAGTACAGCCTATACAACACAAACTGCCCACTTTAACACTCACCATACAATATAGACTATACCACACAAACTGTCCTCTTAAATACTCACCTTACAGTAGTGACTATACCACAGAAACTGTCCACTTTACCACTCACCATACAATACAGACTATACCACAAAAACTGTCCACTTTAACACTCACAGTATAATACAGACTATATCATTCAAACTGTACACTAACACGCACCATACAATATAGACTATACCACACAAACTGTACACTAACACTGACCATACCTTACAGACTATACAACACAAACTGTCCACTAATACTCACAATACAATACAGACTTTACCGCACAAACTGTACACTAACACTCACCATACAATATAGACTATACCACACACTCTACAGACTACCACTCACTATTCAATATAGACAATACTACCCAAACTGCACACTAACACTCACCATACAATATAGACTATACCACACAAACTGTACACTAACACTAACCATACAAGATAGACTATACCACACAAACTGTACACTAACACTCACCATACAATATAGACTATACCAAACAATCTGCACACTACCATTAACCATTCAATATAGACTATACCACTCAAACTGCACACTAACACTCACCATACAATATAGACTATACCACACAATCTGCACGCTACTATTCACCATTCAATATAGACAATACCACTCAAACTGCACACTAACACTCACCATACAATATAGACTATACCACACAAACTGTACACTAACACTCACCATACAATATAAACTATACCACACAAACTGTACACTAACACTCACCATGCAATATAGACTATACCACACAATCTGCACACTACCACTCACCATTCAATATAGACAATACCACCCAAACTGCACACTAACACTCACCATACAATATAGACTATACCACACAAACTGTACACGAACACTGACCATACCTTACAGACTATACAACACAAACTGTCCACTAACACTCACAATACAATACAGACTTTACCGCACAAACTGTACACTAACACTAACCATACAATACAGACTATACCACACAAACTGTACACAAACACTCACCATACAATATAGACTATACCACACAATCTGCACACTACCACTCACCATTCAATATAGACAATACCACCCAAACTGCACACTAACACTCACCATACAATATTGACTATACCACACAAACTGTACACTAACACTCACCATACAATATAGACTATACCACAAAAACTGTACACTAACAGTCACCATACAATAAAGACTATACCAAACAATATGTACACTACCACTCACCATTCATTATAGACAATACCACTCAAACTGCACACTAACACTCACCATACAATATAGACTATACCACTAAAAATGTACACTAACACTCACCATACAATATGGACTATACCACACAATCTGCAGACTACCACTCACCATTCATTATAGACAATGCCACTCAAACTACACACTAACACTAACCATACAATATAGACTATACCACACAAACTGTACACTAACACTCACCATTCAATATAGACAATACCACACAAACTGTACACTAACACTCACCATACAATATAGACTATACCACAGAAACTGTACACTAACAGTCACCATACAATATAGACTATACCACACAATCTGTACACCACCACTCACCATTCATTATAGACAATACCACTCAAACTGCACACTAACACTCACCATTCAATATAGACAATACCACTCAAACTGCACACTAACACTCAACATACAATATAGACTATACCACACAAACTGTACACTAACACTCACCATACAATATAGACTATACCACACAAACTCTACACTAACACTCACCATGCAATATAGACTATACCACACAAACTGTACACTAACACTCACCATACAATATAGACTATACCACACAATCTGCAGACTACCACTCACAATTCAATATAGACAATACCACACAAACTGCACACTATCACTAACCATACAATATAGACTATACCACTCAAACTGCACACTAACACTCACCATACAATATAGACTATACCACACAAACTGTACACTAACAATCACCATTCAATATAGACAATACCACTCAAACTGCACACTAACACTCACCATCCAATATAGACTATACCACACAAATTGCACACTAACACTCACCATACAATATAGACTATACCACAAAAACTGTACACTAACAGTCACCATACAATATAGACTATACCACACAAACTCCACACTAACACTCACCATACAATATAGACTATACCACACAAACTGTCCTCTTAAATACTCACCTTACAGTAGTGACTATACCACACAGACTGTCCTCTTTAACACTCACCATATAATATAGTCTATACCACACAAACTGTCCACTTTAACACTCACCATATAATATAAACTATACCACACAACCTGTACACACACACCTACCATTCAATACAGACTATACTACACAAACTGTACACTAACTGTCACCATAAAATACACACTATACCACACAAACTGTCCACTTTAACACTCACCATACAGTATAGACTATACCACACAAACTGTCAACTTTAACACTCACCATATAATATAGACTATACCACGCAAACTGTCAACTTTAACACTTACCATATAATAAAGACTATACCACTAAAACTGTCCACTTCTTTAACACTCCCCATACAACATAACATATACCACACAACCTGTCCACTTTGACACTCACCTTGCAATATAAATTATACGACACAAACTGTACACTTTAACACTCACCATACAGTATAAATTATACCACACAAAGTGTCCACTTTAACACTCACCATACAATATAGACTATACCACACAAACTGTCCACTTTTACACTCACCATACAATATATATTATGCCACACAAACTGTCCACTTTAACACTCACCATACAATATAGTCTATACCACACAAACTGTCCACTTTAACACCCCCCATACAGTATAAATTATACCACCGAAACTGTCCACTTTAACACTCACCATAGAATATAACTATCTGACCTCACACTTAAACGTCGCTTTCTGACTGAAAATAATAGAAGAGCGCTCAGCCGATGTACCCCGCTTACAAGCGAGTAACATTTCAATGTACCCCGCTGTCAATGGCAACTCATTTGGTACTTTGTGGTAGTAATTCTTTATCTCGAATAACATTGAATCACGTATGATATACAGAAATTACCGATGTTTTGCGAATGCAAATCGATGGAAGGGACATAACTCTTATCTGTTGTTCTTGTCAGTACAATTTAGCGATGGCTCCAAAAACATTTGTACCCGTGCTTCAAACAATTCAAAATTAACATTAAGGTGTTCGGTAAGATAAATACGTTGTTCACTGGTCACGAGTGCGGCATGGGTTGATGCACCCTCGATGCTTGTTTATGTTCCCTGAGCCCGTACTTATCTTCCCCCGATTTGCATTCGCATACATCGTACATTACCAATGTATGTGTTTGGGAAAAAATGACCGCCCAGCTGACACATGACAGAATGACCGCCCCACTGACACATGACAGAATGACCGCGCCACTGACACATGACAGAATGACTGCCTAACTGACACATGACAGATTGGCCACCCCACTGGCACATGACAGAATGATTGCCCCGATGACACATAACAGAATGCCCGTCCCGCTGACACATGACAGAATCACAACCCAACTGACACATGACAGAATCACCACCCAACTGACATATGACAGAATGACCGCCCCACTCACACATGACGGAATGACTGCTCAGCTCACATATGACAGAATGACCCGCCAGCTTACATGACAGAATGATCACTCCACAGACACATGACAGAATGACCGCCCCGCATTCGCAAAACATCGTAAATTTAGGTACATCATACGTGATTCAATGTTATTCGAGATAAAGAATTGCTATCACGAAGTACCAAATGAGTTACCATTGATAGCCGGGTACATTGAAATATTACTCGCTTGTAAGCAGGGTACATTAAAAATAATAGATGAGCGCTCAGCTAATCAGAAAACGACATTTATGCATGAGGTAAGAAAATGTAGAATATACCATGCAAACTGCACATAAAACAACGTATATCGTCCAAAGGTAATGCTGAAATGTACAATGTTCACTGTGTACTTTCAGATATCACAATCATGTCTACGCCCAAATTTAAGACAGAAGATAAAAGGAAGGCAGACTTTGAAGACGGCTCAGATGCTTCTTGCACAACACAATTTCACTCTGGTAAGTCTATCCCTGAAACTGAGCCTAAGTCCAAGAGTGAATGTGAACATGTTTTATCCCTGAATACACTGAAATAACAACAATACAATACTTTAACATTAAAGCCTTCAAGTATGAAAAACTTCTGATCACTGTTTAGTGTTGTATGTGTTTGTGAGCCATTGGTGACAGAATGACCGCCCAGCTGACACATGACAGAATGACCGTCCCACTGACACATGACAGAATGAACGCCCCGCTGTCACATGACAGAATGACTGCCCCACTGATACATGACAGAGTGACCGCTCCACTGACACCTGACAGAATGACTGCCCTACTGATACATGACAGAATGGCCGCCCCACTGAGACATGACAGAATGACTGCCCCACTGATACATGACAGAATGACTGCCCCGCTGACACATGACAGAATGGCCACCCCACTGATAAATGACAGAATGACTGCCCAGCTGATACATGACAGAATGACTGCCCCGCTTACACATGACAGAATGACTGCCCCACTGATACATGACAGAATGACTGCCCCGCTGACACATGACAGAATGGCCACCCCCCTGACACATGACAGAATGACAGCCCAGCTGATACATGACAGAATGACTGCCTGCTGACACATGACAGAATGACCGCCCTACTCACAAATGACAGAATGACCGCCCCACTCACAAATGACAGAATGACCGGCCCCAGCACACATGAGAGAATGACCGCCCAGCTGACATGACAGAATGGCCACCCCGCTGACACATGACAGAATGACAGCCCAGCTGATACATGACAGAATGACTGCCTGCTGACACATGACAGAATGACCGCCCTACTCACAAATGACAGAATGACCGCCCCACTCACAAATGACAGAATGACCGGCCCCCGCACACATGAGAGAATGACCGCCCAGCTGACATGACAGAATGGCCACCCCACTGATAAATGACAGAATGACTGCCCAGCTGATATATGACAGAATGACTGCCTGCTGACACATGACAGAATGACCACCCCGCTGACACATAACAGAAGGACGGCCTTGCTTACATATGACAGAATGACCTTCCCACTGACACATGCCAGAATGACAGAATGACTTCCCGTCTGACAAATGACTCACGAATGACAGGATGACTGTCCCGCTGACACATGACAGAATGACCGCCCAGCTGACATGACACAATGACTGCCCTACTGATACATGACAGAATGACCGCCTCACTGACACATAACAGAATGACTGCCCCACTGATACATGACAGAATGACTGCCCCGCTGACACATGACAGAATGGCCACGCCACAGATAAATGACAGAATGACTGCCCCACTGATACATGACAGAATGACTGTCCCGCTGACACATGACAGAATGACCTCCCTACTCACAAATGACAGATTGACCGCCTCGTTTACACATGACAGAATGACAACCCCGCTGACACATAACAGAAGGACCGCCTTGCTTACACATGACAGAATGACCACCCCACTGACACATGACATAATGACCGCCCCACTGACACATGCCAGAATGACAGAATGACTGCCTGTCTGACAGATGACTCACAAATGACAGAATGACTGCCCCGCTGACACATGACAGAATGGCCGCCCAAGTAACACATGACTGAATCATCATCTAACTGACACATGGCAGAATGACAGCCCCACTGACACATGACAGAATGGCTGTTCCGCTCACATATGACAGAATGACCGCCCCACTTACACATGACAGAATGACTGCTCCGCTCACACATGACAGAATGACCGTCCAGCTTACATGACAGAATGACCGCCCTACTGACACATGACTGAATGACCGCCGCACTTACACATGACAGAATGGCTGTTCCGCTTACACATGACAGAATGACCGCCCCACTCATATATGAGAGAATGACCGCCCCACTTACACATGACAGAATGACTGCTCCGCTCACATATGACAGAATGACCGGCCCCCGCACACATGACAGAATGACCGCTCCGCTTATACATGATAGAAGATGATTGCACCACTGTGACAGAAGATGATTGCACCGCTCACACATGACAGACTGACTGACTGAGTTAAGTTTTACGCCGCTTTTAGTAATATTCCAGCAATAACACGGCGGGGGACACCAGAAATGGGCTTCACACATTGTGCCCATGTGGGGAATTGAACCCGGGTCTTCGGCTTGACGAGCGAACGCTTTAACCACTAGGCTACCCCACCGCCCCGACACATGATTGAACAGAATGATCGAACCCATTGAACATGACAGAAGATGATTGCACAGCTGACACATGACAGAAGATGATTGCACTGCTGACACATGACAGAGTGAAAATACATAGTGGTCGTAAGACATGATTGACAGTGGGAGTGCCGTTGTTGTCTTGAGTGAATTTGATGATTTACACCACGCCTTAAAGTAGTTAAGATATTTCCAAATTACATCTACTCTGGGTACAGTTATTCCGCAGTAGATGATACCATTTTGAAGGAACTGTCGTTCTTTTGTAAAATAGCCATCTGTTATTTTGAAAGTAAAAACAGCCTTTAGGCAAGACGTATTACTGTTACAATAAAACTGTTGCCTCCAAGTAAAATCCATTGGTAGGATTTAGAAGATTTGATATAGCTTGTGTTCATTACTTTCAGGAAATCCCGGTGTCTCAGAGTGAGTATTAGATGCACATTATACGTTCATACGTGTAGTGAAGAAAGGTATAAATAATGCAATACTTCAAGGTTTACAACGTTGTCTGTATTCTCATTTGTGGATTGGGCAATAACCTGATATGATTTTCGTAGTTCACACTTCTGTGAACGGACATAAACGTTCACACTTATGTGCACATATACACCTGAAACATATTTTTGCGCAGCCTATTCGGGGACACAAAGGTTTCAAGAAATTTCAGACTTCCAGAAGGGCGATAATGCCTGATTATTTGATGGTAGATTAAAAAACATCATCACAGAAAAACAACAAAATATAGGCAGTATGTCAACACTGTTGATTAACATACGATAATATAGTGTCGGATCTCGTACAGGCCCACTGAAATCTCGCGGGGTGTTTGACATCAGTATCACGTAACGCGTGTATCCACCACGTGCCTGGATGACAACCTTCACCCTTCTCCTCATGCCACAAGTGATACGTTCCCGAGGCAACTGCCGCCGCTCCTCATACAATAAAATGCTGCCTCCAATTCACCAACATTTGGTACAGGAGGACCCTTACCTGCAAAGGACGACCAAGAAAACCCAAGATATGCTCGATGGAGTTCACACAATAACTGATCCTCCAACGGAGGATGATGGTTCCTTGGCACTTATCCTATAGGCTCTCAGACGTAACATGAGCCAAGAACCTAACCTGCTTTCATCTGACCAATGGATCCGTCTCCAGATCCCACGATTCCGGCAAGGGTCGAGCGAAACACTATTGCTGGCGTTTTCTTTGATGTTCTTGAGTCAGAGTTGGGCGCCTGGCGACCCTTTGGGACCCCAGACCAAGTGCCTTGAGGCAGTTACGCACGGTCCTGGGGCCCGTTTCACAAAGCCCTCACAAAGCCCTTCCGAGGCATGTTGTTTTCTAACTTCGCAGAAAGCTAGAGCCCCAACTGAACAAATCTACAAGGCGGGGCTGTCACATGCTATTCCGACCTCCCTGCAAGTGTTGTGTACACTGAGGTATTTGGCAAAAGGGTCTTTCGTCAGTGAAATTTGGGATCGCCATCGAGTTTCCAGAGCTAGTGTGTAAAGAATACTCCGCGACACCACTAGTGCTCTGGCTGAGTCTCTGGACTTGAATAAACCCCATGTGTACCACAGGGACATATGTCCTTCCTCTTTAACCCTCACTTTGAAGTCCAATAAAATTTTAAATATATCAAGCACACAAATATACTTCACAGTTTTGTATTCTGCGGGAAATTCCGGTTTCGTACACTATTATCTCAGACAAAGCTAAAGTGCTTAAATAACCTTTTATTCCAGTGCCTTCAGACATTTAGCTTTCAGATTTTTACTTTGCGGTAAGAGAGTAAGGTGTTGGTCAAATATCATTCCCAGAAATTTAGCTTCCTTTACAACTTTAATTGGAGTGCCCGAAAGAAGGAGGTCCGGGTCCCTATGTGGTTTATACTTTCGACAAAAATAAATGCAAATTTGTTTTAGATTTTGAAAACTTAAACCCATTAAGTTCTGACCAATCATTTATTTTATTAAGACACAGCTGCAGCTGTCTCTCAATCGTGTGCATATTTCTACCTCGACATGACACATTAAAACGATCCCTCAACAGATTCATTTAAAACTGTTTATCTTTATACTGAATAACGTTACTGATAAAATGCTACCTTGTGGCACACCTTGATCTTGATCATAAAAATCAGACATGGTGGAACCCACACGTACCTGGAACTGCCGATCTGTTAAAAACTGAGATATGAAATGTGGTAAACGGCCTCTCAGTCCCATTTCATGAACATCTTTTAAAATTCCATATTTCCATGTCGTATCGTAAGCTTTTTCTAAATAAAACAATATTGACACAGCGTGTTGTTAACAAACATTTCCAGTCTGATTAAATGGTCTATGGTACTTCTATGTTTTCTAAACCCACATTGGATATTTGAAATAATATTTTTTTACCTTACTCTAAGTACCATATTAATCGGTTATTGACCATTCTTTCCATGGTCTTACAAACACAACTAGTAAGTAATATAGGGCTGTAATTGGAAGCATCTGAATGATCGCGACCAGATTTAGGAACTGGGATTACAACAGCATTTCGCCACGATGAAGGGAAATGACCTGTTGCCCAAATCTGATAAAATATATGTAAAAGTGTTTCTAAAGAGGAATCAGGTAAATATTTAAGTAACGGATAATGAATGTTATCAGCACCTGCTGTAGGATCGAGAGCTTGCCCTAAAGCAGTATGTAGCTCATGAATTAAAAAAGACTTCATTATAATGAGTCAAAAGTAATTTTCTTTTTTTCTTGGTGTTCTTTATATTTTTGAAATTTCGGTATATAGTTTGATGAAGAAGAATGTGTTGCTAGAATTTCCCCTTGTTTATTTGATATTTCAACTTTATCAGTCAGTAATGTGTCACCCTCCTGAAGATGGTGAACACTGGATTTGGAAACCTGTACCTTCTATTCTTTGCTCCATATTCCAAACTTTAGACATTGGTGTTCGTGAATTTATTCCAGAACATAGTTTCGCCAACAATTACGCTTATTTTGTTTGAACGTTATACAAGCTTTTGCATTTAATTTTCTAAATGTATTTAGATTATGGCCAGTTGGGTGATGGCGGAAGTAATGTTCAGCCTTTTTCCGAGCTTGCCAACAATTCGAGTTAAATCATGGTTTTCTTATATGTGGATTGATTGAGGACTTTGGAATATATTCATCAGCTATTTCATTTAAAACATCAGAGAAAATCTGAATGGGTTTCAGGTTTGAGTTTACTTGTGGATAGAGTTTGAAACATCGACCAGTTTGCCTTTGTGAAATTCCGTCTTGTATAAGGTGGAGTATCAGATGGCTTTACTGCTGAAGGTATGGTTGGGTGATGGTCACTGCCACAAAGGTCATTATGGACTGACCATTCAAAGTCGTTAAGAAGGTTAGCATCAGTTAGAGACAAATCCAGAGAAGAGTAGGTGCCAGTAGCAGGATGCAAATAAGTATGGGAATCATCATTAAATATACACAGGTCGTTATTAATGATGAACTCCTCCAGAACTTTACCTTTAGTATTTATTTTAGCATTTATACCTCCCCAGAGTGGATTGTGACCATTCAAATCCCCCATGATAACACATGGTTTGGGAAGCTGATCATAGAGATTTTGAATATCAGCTTGCTGAAGAGCTGCAGATGGTGGAATATATCGTGAACACAGAGTGAAAACAACGTGAAGAGTAAGATGCACAGCAACAGCTTGAAGATTAGTCTTAAGCACAACAGAGCTGTGGATAACATCTTGGCCCGATCACCCGGAGGAGAAAAAGAATGGTATGCTTGGAATTGACGGAAAACTTTAGTATCGTTCTGTTCTAGGTGAGTTTCTTGCAGGCAAAATGCTGACGCTTTAAAATCTTGCACCGATAGGTGTATTTCATTAAAGTTGGTCCTCAGACCTCGACAATTCCACTGTATAAGATTATTTAAAAACATTAGTTTTTGGGTGGATTGATTGGGGATCTACCCCGCACCCTCCTTGAGGGCGACACGCCGTTTGCACTCGGCTAGATGTTTTCCATAACATCCATTTTTCAATTGATCCAAACTTATTGAAAAGTTGGATTTGGCTATTTGACCCCTTTGAAATCCTCGCATTTTGCTGTCCTTTTGACGATTCGGATCTTGGTTTAGGTTTCGATGGTTTACCATTATGTTGAGTTTGAGTTTGAGTACCATTATGTCCATCTGTTGCTTCCAGATGGGACAGTCTTATGAAAAAGGATGAGTGGCTGCCTGAATAATTTGTACATTTTTTTATATCGTTGTCACAGTGTTCAGTAGTATGAGTCTGCTCGCTGCAGTGTGCACTAGTCACAGGTCTTGTACAGGAATTGACACCATGACTATACTTTTGACATTTGAAACATTTTAAGGGATTTGGAATACAAATGTCAACGTTGATATTGCAGTAGCCTGATTTGGGGGCAATTGGTGCTGAAAAGGAAAAGAGATTACGTGTTAGGTAGTTGAGTTTGAGAGTTTTTCCTGGTTGAGAATCGTTTCACGTACATCACACCTTGGTCTCTCATTTCAAATGCTATTTCACTTTCAGTCATGTCTGTGAACAATTGATCTCGATCACGTTTTATTCCTTTGCTGGTACTGAGAATTCTGTGTTCCGTGACTGATACTGGAACACCAACAAACGAAGTGATTGACATAAGGTTAACAGATTGTTGTTTCTTGCTACATTCAATCAATAAAGGGCCTGATCTCAATCTTTTGACTATGCCATGAACACCCTTTGATATGACAAATGGGTTCAGCTTAAGAGGTGTCTTGTCACTTGTCTCAACAACAAAAAAACGTGGCAATATTCTGTTTGTGTCGAAGTTCTCGGTTCATCACCATTATCAAGTGGACGTTTAGTTTTTATAGGGGGTTTCGTATTCCATGTTAAGGTTATGTTAGTTCGTCATCCGTGCTCCCCACCCACCACGGAGTATCACAAGGACAATGCTAAATACAAGTGGATTTCCAACTTGCAGCACCAAGGATACCCGGATGATATACTCCAGTAGAATAATCAAAAAGTAACTATTCCACCAGATTGGCCCATGAGCCACCGCCTTCTGGGCATTAGACTCTAGGCAAAAATATACATTAAATTGTGGATTTGAAATTCAGTGTTAAAAAAATTCGCCAAGACTTGAAAATATTATCTTGTAATATTCACAATTTTGTGCAAAGGTACATAGTTTTAGCACAGGGCTTGGCGTCACCAGCCGATTGGTTGAACCGGGCCCATTCAACCACCCATCTAGGTGAAGTTAGGGCCAAAGTGGTGTGTTAAAGCATTGGCTCGTCACGCCGAAGACCCGGGTTCGAATCCCCACATGGGCACAATGTGTGAAACCCATTTCTGGTGTCCCCGCCGTGATGTTGCTGGAATATTGCTAAAAGCGGCGTAAAACCAAACTCAGTCAGTCAGTCAGTGTGTTGGGCAAAGGAACACTGTTCCCTCAACCACCAGAATCCCTTCCTCCACCGACACAGGGGCGCAGCACACGGCAAACAGGTTGGTGGACCAAATATACCCCTGGGTCCACAACGGGGGGATGAAGAGCGCTCAGCGTTACCCAGTACCCACCACGAGGAGGTGGCTCTTCACGGGTGCTTTCATAGCAAGAAAGAGGAAATTAAAAACAGATACAATGCAATGATTTGATACATCATAAGATATTGTCAAAGTTTCCGTGCAGCGTGACGCCATAACAGTCGCAGAACGACAACAGTAATTATCAGCATATCCGTCTTCTTCTCTTACTTACAATGAAAACGATGAAAACATATAACAATACACAGATAGTCAGAGTCACTCTGATTACTTACATCTCATATTTATGTACAAACGATCCCTAAATCAAGGGAAGATTCCTCGCAAAATCCTGTGTATCCTTGTCAGCGAAGCCGCCATTTCGTAAGAAATCGGTCATCGGTTGTGATGTCACACGTCAACATTGTTGTACATATTAGGCAATTTCTTTGAGGTGAAGGTCGGTTGAAAAAAAAGTTAACACAATCGCCCTATCCTTCTGATTACACTTTCAGTATCATGATGTATATTTTGCGTATCGTTCAGAATTGTTTTCCTGAAACCAATTTCAAAATTACATTTAGCCTTGTTCAATATCATATTGTACGTGGATATAGGGTATACGCTTTTATTCTTTGAAAGTTTTGATTGTTTTAATAAAAGTTACAAAAGAAATTGGCACATTGTAGAGTATCACACCATATTTTCAACCTTTACACAAGTGTTAGTAGATCAAGCATAGCCATAACTGCAACAATGTATTTCAGTTCCAATAGTGTGCAATATACAATACACTGGGACTAATATTGCAGTTTCATATGAACAGGTTAATGGACAGCGATTTAATTCAAACCTTATAAGTAAAACTGATGATATAAATGGAAATGGTTTGTACATTTTTTCTTGTAATTTTCAATGGAATTTCGTGAGAGAATCCAAAAAAATTCATTGATTGATATTTTCTTACGATAAGATAACATGTACTTTCAATTAAAAACATAACATTTGCATTGTTATTCAAACTGTTTTGCTATTTTGAAATACTTTGGGAATAACAAGATAAGCAAGTGCCCGTTCGGTCTCGCTTTATGCAATCTATGCAGCAAAGTACCTTTTATACGATGTACGACATGGATTTAGGACCGCGTCGTACGACATGGATACGACGTCTTTGTGAAACGGTCGTAAAGGAGGTCGGAAGAGGGTCGTAAACAAGGTCGACCTCATAAAGTTGGGAGGTTTTGAGAAACGCGGGCCTGGACTCCTGGTTGACAAACGTCTGTGGGGCACCTAGAGGTGTTTAAGACGAGTGCTTTTGGTGAAAGATTCACACATCACGTGGCAGCGCTTGTTTATTGGGGTTTCTGGGTATGTCTACTGACAGAGCGGCAAAAACGAAGCGACGCCCGAGGGCCTTAAATGACATTCCAGCTGCATGACATGTCCACTTTCTGCCATCTCGACCCCAATGAAAATCTCCGCAAAATGTGTATGAATGAACAGGATAGTATATTCACAAATTGAATGGCTAATTGGGAAATGAGTGGGCAGCATCCTTCACATGCCTGTACAATGTAAGCTGCGTTTTGGCAAACTGTTTCAAACTGAAACCTTGTTTTTCATAACCTGAAATTGGCTACTAAACAATGGCATCATCGACATATCATCATCATCATCATCATCATTATCATCATCGATAGCTCCATCACTATGATGAAATTTGGGGTACTTAAATCAGTTCATAAGTATATGTTTATTATCTCAGTGCATGCGCACACGCTCTATCACTTAACTGATTCTTTATTCGCGGTGGGAATTTACTATTATCCAGTTTGTTCAGAGGATAGAATTATCTTGGTGTTGAAATATTTTCATCCAGTGTGGCTTATATTAAATTACCAACATTGCGTTACTTAACTGAGCATGAGTCTGGATGTTGTAAACATCTACGATATAGGAGGTGACATTATTTTCAAAATCGTACCGATGACTACATGAGCTAATAGAATATATATATCAATGAACGTTTTTGTCCACAGAAGTGATTCTGATTCCGATCTGTCAAAGGTAAGCATCTTAACGTCAGACAAATTGCCGTCCATTTCTTTGATATGTCAGCGAATGGCGAATAAATAAAAACCAGATCCATGCTTTTATCTCATTGTACATTCGTGAACGCATTTGCAGATACAGAGAAGAATACAGCCAAAGGAATCGATTCATCCCATTTCATGTCTTTATCAGATTTTCAACGACCCTATTCATGGGACTATACGGGTGTCGGGTCTGTGTATGAAGATAATAGACACCCCACAGTTTCAGAGGTTGAGGTATTTGAAGCAGCTCGGAGGAGGTTACTTTGTATATCCAGGCGCAACACACAACAGATTTGAACACAGCATCGGGTAATGTAAAAAAATAGTGCTCCTTTATTCCCGTGATATGAATTCTTGCTGTACACAGTACAGACATATAAACATTATTTCTGTTTGCTAACACGTCTTCCCTTTTATGTTAATACAGGACTTACCATCTCGCTGGGAAATTTGCTCGGATTCTGAAATGGAAACACCCTGCACATTTTGGAGACGATGAAATCAAGTGTATTGAAATGGCAGGACTTTGCCATGATCTCGGTAAGTAGCAAACTGTAATTGCATGAAAAGCTTGATCATTTCTGAACGACACATACCTTTGCCCAAGAGCGTTCATTTTGCCCTCTGTTGGCGGGTCATGATGGAAGACAAAAGTCAGCGGTTAGCTATTACGCAAGAGCAAATGTCAAAATGCTTCCAAGTCAATCAGAAATCATGAAAATGAAACCAGTCGTAGTAATGATTTCATCTAGGTGACCCCAATGGAAGCAATCTTTTCAATGAGTAATTCACAACCATAAACAAAACATTAACAAATGCAAATGCAATACCAAAGAATTAAATTTAAACCAATTCCCAAAAAGTTATAATGATGCTGAAAAACATAGATTTGATAAAGAGTGAGTGAGTGGGTTAAAATTTATCGTCACAACGGCAATATTTCGGCCATATCCTGACGAGAACAATTAATTGGTATACATAGTAATAAATGGTAAAGTTCATTTGATAAAGATAATTAAATGTTTTTGACAAAATGGGCTGGCTGTTTCACAGTTTGAACATGCCTTTTTTCTTTCTGCCTACTCGCTACCCCAACCCAACCCACCCCCACACACACCCTCCTCTCTCTTTCTCTCTCTCTGTCTGTCGCTCTCTATCTCTCCCTCTCTCTCTTACCACAACTCCTTACCACGTGGAGAGGCGATGGATTGTACACTCGCAGCACCTACTGCTATGTGTGAACAGAATAGCCAACCAACCTACTCCTTCGCCTGGATGAAGTCGGTTGGTATTAAATGTGAAACTGAGGCTTCCTCTGTGATGCCCAGGACCAGTCACATGCCACTCAGAAACGCCAAAATGTGATTCGTAAAGAAAATATCAACATGAAGTGTCGACTTTGCAATGAATTTGCAGAAACTGTCCAACACCTTACTTTAAACGACACGATGGCATGGCTCGTTTCTTCTTCTACTTTCTACGCCATGCCTTTGGCTTTCTCCACCGGGAGTACATCCCTTCTGACACTCTGGGTAATGCAGAAGGCTGCAGTGTTGGGGAGCCTTCATATTCTCCGGAACTTTCATGGTGGGTTCGACTAGGCACTTCCAGGGAGAAGTCCCATTTGTTACTCTGGGCTGCGTGTAGAGGGGGCAAGGGTCCTCAGCTAATGATGAGCCTTACCATGAGTCTGTGCATGGTGGGCCTAGATAGGGACTTTTTATTCCCTGAACTAAACGTACATCGCCCAGTTAGGAGTGATCCCCTGAAGCTGAGAAACTACTGGGTTACCGACAGACAAGGAGCAAACGGTCTCTAATTCCGCAGCTCAGTCAACCATCCTCACTGGAGATAGGATTTGCCCCAAGGTTAAGCAAAGAACTCGACCATGAGTGGGAGTGTTATGATAAGAAGGTGTACACCGAATATTGTATTGCTGAATACATTTAACAGATACAAGTGAGGTGTACTTTGATATATTTTGAAACAATATTCTTTTGAATGTATAAAGACAGCTACTGCAATTGTTTGCTCTATGACCCCGTAAACGACTATTGCAATGGCCAAAGACAATAAGGTACAATGCGGTTGAGTTAATCATGACGACAAGAAAAGAGGTTGTGGACTACATATGTGCCTTCTTCTTTTAGGACACGGCCCATTCTCACACGTTTCTGACAACATGTTCATACCTCGGGTAAAGCCAGACAGCAAGTGGAAGGTATATACATTATGTTGAGTACATTTATGCTCAAACGCCCTAACCCAGCATTCCTTTGTGGTTCCTCTCTCGTGAGGACAGTGTTTTTTATAGGATTTTCAAGAGGCCATCACCATCACCATTCTGTTGTATGTGATGGGAAGGTCGAGAAATTATTCATTCAATGTAAATGTTTTACAAAGAGTAGTAAAACAAAATGTAACAGACCTAATGTCAATACAATGATGAGAGAGCAATTCGCAAACAATTTATACGTACTTCCTGACCACGTCCCACCCACTAGTCGACTGCACAGTCGTCAGTTGTGTTACAGGTGACAGTTATTGTTGCCGTGTTTAACACATCAAATGGGCGAAACTGACAAAGCTGATTTCGTTTATTTGATTTACAATCAATGATTTCAGCATGAAGATGCGTCAGTGATGATGCTGGAACACCTAATTAAAGAAAATAGCGATGTGAAGAGTGCCTTTGACGAGCTTGACAAAGACTGGAGTTGTCTCGAGCTGGTTAAAGACCTCATATTAGGTGGAAAAGAAACAGTTAAGTAATAAGCCATTGAGAAGTAGGATATAAAAGGATTTAAACTCTGTTATGCTTGTAGGATAAACATCAAAGTACCCATGTGTCTACCAAACACATAAGATGCACATTATTGTTGTATAATATAGAGCAAAAATATACCAGACTGTACTTATTACCATCTCCGTGGTCTGTTTTCGCCGATAGTGGTCTGTGGTCTGATAACATTTAACTTTACCTTAAATATAACGATGGATGGGTGTTTATCCCTTGTGATTATGTTTTACGATGCTGTTTTACAGAACCATGTGACTACTGAAAGTGTGATTGAAATGAGAAGTACCAAACCATACCTTTATGAAGTAAGTATGTATTACTACATCAATGTTCAAACAGAACGAACATATCGTTGCTCGGATGGTTGATTTTAGTTTGTTAATACATTTAGCAAACATTATTAATATTACACGTCCGGGACATTGGCAAACATGCCACATATTGTGCTTGCAAGTGCAATGGATGTTTCAATCTTGGAAATGTGTTTAAACATTAGTGTATCACAAGCACATTTCTCGCCAGATTGTAGCCAACTCCAAAACAGGAATTGACGTGGACAAGTGGGATTACTTCGCGCGTGACTGTCACATGGTGGGCATGAAAAACAACTTCGACCACGACAGGTACATGGAGATGGCTCGTATCAACGACGTCGATGGAAAACCACGGATCTGTACAAGAGACAAAGTAAGTCTCAGTCCTGCATTGCCTACAATTTAATATTTTCGTCTAGGCACATAAGCATATATAAGGTCTAGTAACGGCACTTATGTCATATATATAACTCACCTAGTCCCGGAAAAAATTATTCAGTATGCCATTACACATGTTACTTATAACAGGATAAGGATCGTATCTCCCTCACCTCACATGACCTGGTTGTTCTTTCTCGGACTGATTCCCGGTTATCCACACGCAACTGTATCTATCCGTGACAGAAGCTTATGACATAAAAATCCCATTTATGTCATACCCTAAAGACATAAGTATGCAAATTACATAATCGGAAGTATGAGTTTTTCCCTGGTTCACGTGAGCAGGTGTTTACAAACAACATGTCTTCATCTGATGTTCGAGGCAAAGTTTTAATTGATCAAATGGGAAACAGCCAAACAGATACTGCATGTTGTAGGTTGATGGTACCGAATTTGAATTTGACTTTGATGAAGGCAGATTATCTGAAATTCCCTGTGACCATCTTTTCGTCATCGAAACACCATGGTCGAGCATGGGAAGCATACGACAATCACAAAGCCTAAAGATGCCCGAGGAAGATTAGTCGCTGTTGAGTACGACATGATCAATGGCTTGATCCTGCACAAGGAAACTATGATTTGAAACTGTTTGACAACTTTCTTAAAACCCCAAAATATAATTCGCCAAATGAATGCAATACCCCCAAACGAACTAGACACACTTCTATCCCCGTTTTGCATCAGTGTTTGCAAAACACATATAAAAAAATGAGCCAATTGTAATGTATGAACAACAATGAGAAATCACTAAAACGAAAGTGGAACGGCTATCCCATCACGTCATCCTCGCGGGGTGGTTGGGTAGCCTAATGGTTTATGCGTCCCCGGGTTTGATTCCCCACATGGGTACAATGTGTGAAGTGCAACTCTGGTGTCCCCCGCCGTGATATTGTAAAAGTGGCATAAAGCAATTCGCTCGCTCACTCAACTCACTCATTCACTCTCACTCACTCACTCCTCACTCACTCACTCACTCCTCTCACTCACTCACTCACTCACTCACTCACTCCTCACTCACTCCTCACTCACTCACTCACTCACTCACACTCACTCACTCACTCACTCACCACACTCACTCACTCACTCACTCACTCACTCCTCACTGTTCACTCACTCACTCACTGAAATTAAAGGTTCACGATCACGGAGGAAAGGAGGAGAATTGAACTGAACATGGAGGGCGTGACACCCAAGTAGAGATCGAGTCCCTGCAGCAGTGCGGACCCTCTGGACATAATATTCCAAAGAGCATAATAAAGTCGAGAGCACAATCCATTTTATAAACTGTCCGCGAGACAAGAGAACAATAGGTCTGGTGAGACTCCTCGTCAAGGCCGAAAATGTTGTCTAAAGTTGCTGATCCTTCTCTGTGCCCTCTGCAGGTGTATAAGTTGTATGTATTCACGTCTCCACTCGACATCTGTTGAGATGGCGGCCCCCTTTAATTACACAGGCACACACAGTCAAGGCATGCCTAAACCTGCGATCAGTTGTTTGTTTGATATAGTATTGTGAAAAACACACTTTCTTCTCTTATGAAAAACATCTGCGATGCCGCCAGTCTTCAAACATCGAAACCACTCACAAATCACTCGGCGCGAAGACGTTAAATGACAATAATCCTCCGCCAAATTAAATAATGCTGAGAACTGGGGAAAAACGACCCATTCCGTGAACAATTTCTGCAATAGAAAACCTACCAGCACAAACAAATATAGAGCATAATTTCAAGAAACTTAATCCCCCCACAGTGACACCTATTGATGAAAATCCCGTCATGCCGAGCGGACACTCGCGTAATGCCCAAATCGCCAGTAGACAACACAATCAGCGTCTCAAATGTCACTGTCTCTGGTGATGTCAAAACTGTGTTTGCTGGCACCATTATTGGTGGAAAGATAATGATTAATCTCGTTAAACCTACACGCTCGGTTCCAGTCAAAATACGTAGTCATCGAAAGTGAAAGTGACACCGAATAATACATACTCTGGCCTGGCTGTTATGCTCTATTCTTTCAGTGTGACGTATCGGGAAAGCGCTTAATACTCATTAACACTGCAGTCTTTACATATGCTCTTAAAGATGGGACAAACGGATTTTGCTCTCTGATGGCATCTGTGCCAATACCAACTGAGTTTTGGGACAAAGCTTGAAACAGACGCTGCACATAAAAGGTCATCTGAACATGTGACCTGATTCATGTTATGTTTGTGTTGACTGCAGAATGCCAGTAATCTGTACGACATGTTTCGCACCCGGGAAACCCTACACCGAAGAGTCTATCAGCACCCAGTTACCCGTGGAGTGGAACTTATGTACGTACACGCAACACATCCTCACAAACACACACACACACACACACACACACACTATCGAGAACCTTTTTTAGCAACGTTGGTGTATGCATCGAATCCACTCATATCTCATCAGTTCTGATATTACGTCGTTTTGACGCGATAACATGCTTATTTAATTCATTAATCAATCATTTATACATACATATACATTATAATATGCATTGTAGGGATATAGATGTTTGTTGTCAAAATATTTTGAATGCGCTCCATGTCTTTTTTCAGGATTGTTGATGCGCTTGTAAAACTTGACAAAACGGCGCTGATACCAGGGAAAATGCGTATGTGAAGTTTGTTAAATTTGCTCAAATGCAATAATACCAAGAACAGAAATGTGGGAACTGGGCCCGGGTAATGATTATGAGATATGACACTATCAATATTAAAGCACTATTTACCTGCACGTGATTTAGATATATTCATTTTCACCAACATCCAGTGTAAAGCATCCAGCCACATGTGGATGTGAATATACATTTGAATTCACTGTTAGTTGATTACATGTACAACCATCACACCAAACATAGATACCTTTCTACAATCAGAAACGACTAATGAAGTTTGTTATTTTTTGCAGCAGTAAAATAAAAATATCCGAATGTATTGATGACATGGCGGCCTATTCCAAGCTGAATGACAGCATCCTTCAACTGGTGGATCTCCCTGTGACACTCGGGACGAGTTCCCAAGACTCTGGTGAATACCATACATCATTGTGTCCTGACTGGTTGTTCACACATACATTAAAGAAATGTAATATCTAGCCAAATAGTGATAAGACTTAGTTGTTTCAATTTACAAACACAGTTGTGAACAAGGGTTCATTAAGAAGGCACTGGGTTCAGAGACACTGACGTGTGTAAAGCGATTGTCATATTTGAGAATAGCCAAATACACTGAAGAGATATAAACTAGGTTTGACTTAAGGCCACGGAAGTCAGAACAGTACTTTTACAAACGTATACACACGCAAAATCATACCGACCACATGGGCATGACTTGCCTTCGTATTCAGCTTGCAGAAATGTGCTGCTGAATTTAAGCAAGACTGTAAGACAAAGATATCATGCAAACGTAGAAGCTGCAGTAAATATCTATTGGCATTAGTTTCTCAGTACAGTTCATCTTAGCTGACAGACTCCACAAGAGCAATATGCCTGCCAAAAAGTTGTGAAAATTTGTTTATTCTGAACGATAATCCATGTTTCTACTTTTCGATTTATCCGCGTGATCTTTATGAATAATATCAATTACAGACGCAGCACTGAAAGATGCAAGTGACATCGTGAAAAGAATACAGAAAAGAGATTTATACAAGTGTGTTAGCAAACACATTGTGAAGGAGGATTTTAATCGAGTATGTTGATTGTTTCGTAAACCTTTTCGCTTTACACACATTATATAGCTAAATGAATAAGTTGGGATAACAAATGTTACTGGTCAGTATTTCAGTAATGTCATATGGCCAAGTGGACAGACATATTGTACGTTGTAATATTCATCCAACGCCTTCTAAGGATTGTTCTGGATTGTTCTGGATTGTTCACTGAAAGTTGTGAAATGTGAACACCAGAGGCTGGAGCTGATGAACTTTGCTCGACGAAAAGGGAAAGTTGAATGCACCCCTCTTGCCACTTTACGAGAGTGTTTTGTCACTGAGAGTGTTTTGTCACTCAGCATTGAATATTTTTGCTTACTTCATTCTTCGTTCAGTGGACAGGCATTGGCTATTTGATGGTTTCTGAGCAATATCAAATCATCTGTACACCTGACGCTTAGTTGGAACCACTTGGCCAAAATACCAAAAATCGAGCAGAAATGGCAATGCATATGCTAAACAAAACAATTTAACAAGTAAATGAGCACAATTCGTACCCATGGGAATGTTTATGTCTTAGTAGGCTAGATGATTTTCCCTAAACAATTACGTTGATGCTATGATTGGAGAAGTCCAGCATTCACATATGTGTTATAATTGGGAAAACAAACTCTCAGTAAAGTACTAATGTCTCAATAAAGTCCAAATTCTATTACTTTGGAGCTTATAGTACAGTCAAGGAATCAAATACACACGTTTAGTGCGGGGCAACTAAGGCTCCATCGAAGTTTGAAGTCTGGTATCGCACATGGTGTACTCAGCCTGGTTTCCGGGGTATGCTGCGCTTTCGCTTCACTGACTCCGGCAAGGACTGCACAATGGTGGTCACCACTACAGGGTGACATATATATGACATCTATTCACTGAAGTAAAACTCAGGAACGGGCGGTTAGAATTTATTTATTGCCTTTTCATTGATTCTATTGCAAAGTATATGTCACCAGAATGACGCTCATCAATCCTTTTAAAGAAAGAAACTAGTATTTTTAAGCTGTTTCGAAACACGGAACTTCGTCACGAAATTATAAACACAATAAATGGAACTGAACGACCTTATTAATTGAATATCGTTCTCATCTCTAATTTAGCAAATTTGATACCGCAAATGTCAATGATGTGGACCCGGTTTCTCCCGTTGTATGCTGGCGATTAACGCCGACTATAGTTACTAGAACATAGTACTTTTGATCCGTAAGAGTGATATTGAGTAGTGTTTTCTGTCACGGCATCTGATAGTGTTTTCATAAAATGCCGTTTATATTGTGTGATAGAAATAACCGTAATTAGAAATCATAATATCTGAAACTGAAAAGTTATTAATTCAATCGTGTATTTTTATCATATGTATGCTTTTGTAAAAATGTCATGTCTCGATGGGATAAGAACATGAATCCCTTAGCTATGAAATTCTCTATACATACATGCACGCACGCACGCACGCACGCACGCACGCACGCACGCACGCACGCACGCACGCACTCACTCACTCACGCACGTACTCACAGTGTTTGTTACCAGACGTCCTGTAAGAGCGCATTGATGATGCTGGGCACAAGAACACCCAGAAGAAAGTATGTTTTCTTTAAACACACACACTCCTAAGGGCTCAAGTTTAAGTTTGTTTGTTTAAGAAATGCTTAGTAGAAAACAAAACAAATATTAAAATTTGATAATATGCCTATTATTCTATTGTCATACACATAATAACTGTAGCTAATGTGTTAGCTTGGGAAGCTTACCACAATTATTTTACCATGATCTAAATGATCAATTTAGCAAATGTATATGTAAGTCTATAGTATTCAGGACAAATTGAATTTGTAAATTCTACATAACATGTTTATTATAATCTTTAAAAAATAATAAGGATATGAACCTCGTTCATGTTCCGTTGTTCATGCTAATGGCAATGTAATCATTCTGTGAAGAAACTTATACTCATGTTTACAAATGATGAATGTAAAAGTAACTAAAAGTAATAAATGTGTATTTTCACAGATGGATTATAAATGGCTTCTCATATTAACAAATATCCAAAGACCAAATTTTAGAAGCAATGACAAACCCTCTCATTGACACTATTCATATGGAGCCAATCATTTGACCTTGTTACTTTATTGGCGTTCGAACAATATTTAATGCTAAGCCCACCATAAAAAACGCACACCTTCCATGTCTCGAACCTGAATAAATATTTTTCTCTCTCTCTAAAATTAACGATGAGCGTTATTTTGATGGCATATACATACCTTGCTAAAAAATCGATAAACAGTGACAAAAAAACTCTTTCCAAATCCATCTCGATTGTATAATTCTGACTAAATCATGAGTATGTATCTATAAAGAAACATTCTAACCACCCATTCTTGACTTTTTCTACAGTAAATATATAACTTGTCGCTCAGTAGTGGAGACCGAATTGTGCAGTATTGTAGCTGTCCGTGTCTAGGCTAATCATGTACTTAGTGCAACCATCTGATTCTTTGTTTCACTGTTATAGTACTCTATTATATTTTCAGAAAATGATTCCACAAATTAAACAAGAAGTTCTAAAACAGGCTGGGAAAAAGACATTTGATGAACAACAGTTTGAAATCATTGTATGTAAACCTTACTTTGTTAGAAACAGTCGTTGTTTCTAGGTGACGGTTGACTGTTTATATATCTTCGTCAATATCTTCGCAAAAATATTGATATATCAAAAGTTTGGATTTCTCTGTGGAAGTCTTTCCCATCGTAAATCCAACAAAATGTAAATTTAAATCAAGGCTACACTGGATACGTCGAGAAACATATGCATCACACATTATATTTATTCTTGTTTACAAATTAATATATTTTGTAGGTGGTGTCTTTTGATTATGGACGCGGAAACGCTGACCCAGTGGCAAATGTTCCTTTTTATAGGAAATCCGACGTTCAGAAGTCTATCTATCTGACGGAAGAAGAGGTACGCTGTTTCTTTGCTATTGTTGTCGCAGAAGTATATGATTATATGTTGCTATTACCTGCAGGTTAGTAAAGTGAATGAAAACCGACGAAACCGTTGTCATGTTTTTAAGCCTTTATGCTAAATGCATAGGCCATTGCACGTTTTCGACAGTATCATATGTGTTTATCAATCAAACTTTGGCAGTGTGATGACACCAGATGAATTCGAAAAACTGTCTGCATCCAGCTGTCTTTAAAATATCCTTCACAAGTCTTCCATAAATAGATCTCAAAATATATGAAGTCATTGATGTCATCAATAATAAACTTCCCGATCTGCAGGTGAGTGTGTGAGTAAGTCACATCGTCACATCGGCAATATTTCAGCTATATCGTGACGATTTGTATACATAGTAATTAATGGTAAATTATAAAAACCTGTCAACGAAGGACAGTAAAACAGCTAGATTATCACAGAGAGGAACTTAAAACTAGTAATTAGGTCTCAAACAGTTTAACTATAGGCGACAATACAATATAAAAACAGGCTATAGATTGTCAACAACTGAAGGTAGATCACCATACTAGGGACCATGGGACTAGGGACTTACAGTACATTTGCTTCCTGCATGGACGATCTGCATGTGAATATTTGACTATCTGATTTCTAGAAACCACAGATGCTGCCAAAAACATTTCGAGAATGTGCAGTTGCTGCTTATTCCAAACACGGACAGTTCGATGATGATCTCAAAAGCTGCTTTGATCTATGGTTCACCGAGGAATATTCAAAGGTAACGATAGCTAAACACTATGTGTTATTAATCATGCTACATATTAAGAATCAACATGTTTACTGTGAAATATGGCTTTCATAATCAGATTTCTTTGATACAATTTAACATCAAATTGTGTCCTAAGTATGGCAACATTATAAAACGTAACCATGTCACTACTTTATTTTGTTTTATCAGAACCAAAGCAAATATGCCGTTGAGCAAGAACCTTCAAGGAAATAAAGTGAGTTTGGTTTGAAACTGAGGTAAAAGCATGTTGATTTGTAACATTCAACCTACAGATGACCATAAATTGCTTAGTTAAGTCACGAATCAGTGTTATTATGTGTTTACATTTCGTATAAGTGTTCTATTATTGATTGGCGTAATATTGTTTTCCCAACCCTCACGATGAAGGGGTTTGAAGAGAAGCATTCTTTCATTTTCTTACTTTTACGTACCATCAATCATCATATAATTATGCTGTTTGTTTTGTTCTAAGATTATACGTGATGGAGTAACTGTCTACGACTTCACACAGGAGAATGTGACGAGCAGCCTTGACCATATCAGAACAAAATAGTCATGGCGTTCTCTGCAGTTGGGAACATGGTGACATTGATAATCCATGTCAACCGGCCTTGACCATTCAACGTTGGTTGCCTCTTACAGGGCTCCAGTAGCAAAAGCACAAACTTGAATAGTTAAACTGAGAGTAATAGCATAAAGACTTTCTGTGTGAACATCACCTGTGCAAACATGAGAAATGCAAACACGAGAAAGGATGTTGCATATACATGAATCAATACAAACAAATGCAATTTACTTATAGTAATTTGTGTTAGTACTAGTAAATATTGTAGCAGCATTGCACATCAACTGCACATGTGAATATTCTGTTCATAACATCTGTTCTTTTATTGTTTTTTATGGGTTTCACAAGTCTCTTAATGAAGGTGTTTGAAGAGGAGTATTCTCTCATTTTTGTTATTTTTTCTTACCATCAATATCCATATAATTACCTTTTTAAAGATAATTTGTTTTTACTGGAATCAGTCATTTCTAAAGGAAAGATAGGAACAACACACAGAGTAATGCTATGCACTGCATATGGTTGAATTAGTGCAAAATCTAATATAGACAGAGCACAGACGTTTGTTGTGGCTTGGAAAATGCATGCACGTATAAATGCACACGCACATGTTTTAATCAGGTTACTGTTTCATGTTGAATGTTTAATGCAAGAGGACTTGCCTTTCATTTAAACATAAGTAATACTGCAAATATGTTTTCAGACACCAATGACTTTGCATCATAATCCTGCATCGAAAGAGGATTTATTTGATCTTGCAGTCACCAAACATGGAAGAAATGCGTGCCAATCTCAATAGCCTAACATGTAACTTAATCTTCACCGATATGTTCCATGATTATACATGAATTCTGTAATGATGATGTAATATACGACCTTTAGTTTAGTTTTCAGTTTACATGAGTGACGGGTGTGGTTGTGTCGCTTAATAGTGAAAGCCTTTGCCCAGGGTGTTCGAGTTTCCAAGTTGGTGAAACATGTATGAAGACAACATCTGGCGTCCTGTAGTTATATATGACTGAAACATTGTTCAACAAACGCAAATAACGACCGAGCATATATGTGAACACTTCTGGCACTAGTCGTAATGACATGAATATCAGATTAACAGACTAATCTAGATTTGAATTGTTCTTTTAGAACAGTGTAAGTATCATTATGACTTTCAGTTTTATACGAGAGCTGATACACTTGTACAAATCCGAAAACACAATGGTACTGTTACGTTGATCATGGCTGAAGTAGTTGTCCCACTGAAAACAGCATCATTCCGTTAGGATGCAATATCTAGTTTCATTTGCACAGATAGCTCATAACATCTCACCTGTATCAGTCAGAATCCAACCTGTATACCTAATTGGGTTCCGCACAGACATCAAACAAGAAAAGCCTTTTAAAAAGGCACCTGGGTAAATAAATACATTTTGTGAGACGGACGTGAGATTTGGGGAGTAAAGCTGATTCGTGAGTGTCACGATGACCATACCTCCGTCAGTTAGAGATTTGCTTCTGTTAGAGATCGGTACTTGCATCGCAAATACGGTACTCTTATCTCCAGTATTTGACATTTCATATCAAAGGTCTTTGTCATGTGTAGCCATGTCTTAGCTCACATACACTAACGCTATGAAGCACCTTTATAGGCCGCGATGGCCGCACCTCTATGGGCCGCACCTCTATAGGCCGCAATCCTTTGTTTCACTTTCGCGCACCCGTTGCGATTATTGTGCACGAAAAACCTATATGATTGACTTCACTGTACTTATACCTACAAGTGCGCACTGTTTCTCTCGCATGTCAGCGGCGTCATTTTTAATCACGAGACCATTGACGAGCGAGGATTCCCTGTCTGAAATAGTAACATACGTGAGCGTTATATAACTGATGTATGTGGCGGCTATGTATCCAGGAAAACCTAATGGGTGCAACTAAAATGGAATGGATTTTCCGATTCTGCGATGTGTATCATTTTATTAACGTTTTCGATCAGTAAAAGCACTGTTTAAATTAGAGATTTATAGAAAACTAGATTTTTGGCATAAAAGTGGGACAGTTTTTTTCGAATTACCCAAATGGTCACGTGGCTCCTAATTTACTACAGCTATGTTCATTGGTTATTTGGAATGAATTGCCAAAATACAAAGGGACTAAGTATCATTGGCTGGAAGTTATTTTGAATATTCCAAGTGTATATATAGAGAGGAATTTCACCTGAGAGAAAATTAAGCCTGATTATAGGGTTGGGTGCGTTTACGCCTCCAACTAATAACCTTATTTCAATCTGGACATAGCATGCTTCATGTTTTTGCCTCATGTGTTACTCTCTTTGTTGTTATGTTAAACTTTGTTTTTAACGCTGTATAATCCTGTCTTTTCCAATTGTTGATTGATTGATAGCACTTGTATCTAGACGCAATCCTTTAATAAAAGCATTTGAACTCCATAAACTCTTTTGTGATGACACAACTAACAAAAGTCACTGAACTAGAGGTTTCAGTGGAAAACAATTATGAAGGAGACCGGACAGTCTTGTCAAGACGTAGCCTTGAAAATTCTTTATTCAATGTTACACAGACCAAAGGCCCTCAGTACAATATATGTGACACATATTTGTGACGACAGTTACAGTGATAAAATATAAGTCCTTTCTTCTTTACCGTAATACAGATATTCAACGAAACAAATGCTTTGTTTTCTGTAGATAAATACGTATGGACCTTTGGGTGAAATAATATTTCGGAGGAAGGTAGGAATGGCATAGGTCAGTATATGCAGGGCACACTAGCAGGAAATAAAACTTGTCTAGGCCAGCAATTGTCTGGTAGCGTTTTTGCTGTTTTCTATTTCACGCCAGTATGTTCAGCATCTAAACCGTGACATACATGAGCGGAATTTACTCACGGTTACCCCATACCGATATCCTATACACTGTAAGGTTAATATTACATCGGACAGAAGACATTATGGTTACATAAAGTCTGTGCCATAATTAATCACAGAAGGCATTCCAGAGTTGAACGTTGGCTCGATATTAGGTCGTGGATAGAATGAATAAAACAAAACGGAATAAGTCCCACTAAAAACTCCTGCAACATTTTGCACTGGCTCTAGAAACTGCAGTCACATCTGTTCTAACCACATGACAGAATGATCGTCCACTACCATGTGACAGAATGATCGTCCACTAACACATGACAGAATGACGGTTCACTACCAAATGACAGAATGATCGTCCACTACCACATGACAGAATGATCGTCCACTACCACATGACAGAATGACGGTTCACTACCAAATGACAGAATGATCGTCCACTACCACATGACAGAATGATCGTCCACTAACACATGACAGAATGATCGTCCACTACCAAATGACAGAATGATCGTCCACTACCTCATGACAGAATGATCGTCCACTAACACATGACAGAATGATCGTCCAATACCACATGACAGAATGATCGCCAACTACCACATGGCAGAATGATAATCCACTACCACATGACAGAATTATCGTCCACTACCACATGACAGAATGATCGTCCACTACCACACGACAGAATGATCGTCCACTACCACACGACAGAATGATCGTCCACTACCACATGACAGAATGATCGTCAACTACTACATGTGAGAATGATCGCCCACTACCACATGGCAGAATTATCGCCGACTACCACATGACAGAATTATTTCCCGCTACCGCATGACAGAATGATCGTCAACTACCACATAACAGAATGATCGTCAACTACCACATGACAGAATGATCGTCAACTACTACATGTCAGAATGATCGCCGACTACCACATGTCAGAATTATCGCCCACTACCATATGACAGAATTATCGCCCGCTACCACATGACAGAATTATCGTCCACTACACATAACAGAATGATCGTCAACTACCACATGACAGAATGATCGTCCCCACCACATGACATAATGATCGCCCACTACCACATGACATAATGATCGTCCACTACCACACGAAAGAGTGAGTGAGTGAGTGAGTTAATATTTAACGTCACATCGGCAATATTTCAGCCATATCGTGACGAGAACAGTTGACATTTAAATGGAATACATATACAGATATTAGAAAAACCTGCCGACGAAGGACAGTAAAACAACTAGAATATCACAGATATACATGTAAAACTAGTAATTAAATCTAAAACATTTTACCTTTAGGGGACAGCACAATATAAAAATAGGCAATAGATCGCCAACAACTGAAGGTAGATCACCATACTAGGGACCATGGGGACTTACATTACTTTTGCTACCTGCATGGACCCTAGCTGGATTTACACCATCCCTTCAGCTGCTGGCGATTGGAAGAAATTTTAGCCAAAATTAAAAGAACAAGAATACTACGTTTAAAACCCTGGCAAGTTTAAATTGACTTTGAATGTTTTGGGACTTACGTACCCTCTCAGGAGGACAATAATTTTACGCTACGTCAACCCCCTTTAAGGGTACAGCCACTAACAATCTCAGTTACTAATAGAAACTACCAACAATATAATATTTAACTATTTACAAATCAGTCAACAAATCTAATTCTTTTAAAAATTCAACTATTAAATGAAAATTAACATTATAAAAAAGATCCTTCAATGTCTTGACATTAAAATACTTATCCCTTGTGACGGAATATTCAACACAGTCAAGCAGGACATGCTTGACTGTGATTCTTTCATCACAAGGGATGCAAACGGAGGATCTTCGCCTTTCAGTAAATATTGGTGAGTATATCTAGTGTGGCCAATGCGACATCGTCGCATAATGACCTCTTCAAATCTGGACTGACAACCCAAGTAAGTGTAACCGATATAGGGTTTTATTGCATGTAATTTATTGATACCTACTTGGGTGTCCCACTTCTTTGCATCAGATCACGGATATAAGATCTTATAGCAGCTTTGTAATCAGAGTATGGGATCAGAAGTGGTGTCACAGATTTGTTAAGGGCTGCCTTAGCAGCAATATCAGCCATTGTGTTCCCAGAAATGCCAACGTGGCTGGGTAACCAACAAAAGACGATGTCGCATTGGCCAGTAGCAAGTTCATTGTACAATTCAATAATTTCTAATAAAAGTGGATGTTTGCAAGAAAGATTTTGAATAGCCTGAAGACAAGAAAGAGAATCTGAAAAGATGATATATTGTTTATATTTACGGTGTTTATAAATATATTTAAGAGCTGTTAGTATTGCGTTTGCTTCTGCTGTCATTGGGTAATCTGAAGAGATTGTTTTGGACCCAATGACATTTATACCCATCTGTGAATAAGGATTTATATGTATTATATTTACTTTTTAATTGATTATATTCTTGTTTATACTGTAGATCATTAGTTTCTGATTTTTTAAATTTAGTGAGTGTTAGGTCCACTTGTGGCCTAACCAATTGCCAAGGAGGAGAAGAAAGAAGGCGGGAAGGAGCTATATTTTCTAGCTCAATGCCGGCAGCAGACAGGAATGGCTTAATTCTGTGCCCAAGAGGCGGAACAAGAGAAGGTTTTTGTTGTATAAATCCTCATAGAGGGATTGAAAACACAGCTAAATGCAGGGTTAGACTCGCTAGAATATAGTTTAGTAATGTATTGTAAAGACAATTTTATACGACGTTGTGTAAGAGAAGGCTCATCTGCTTCAACGTATAGACTATCAACTGGAGAAGTTCTAAATGATCCAAGACAGAGTCTTAGACCTTGGTGGTGAACAGAATCTAGTAGTTGAAGGTTGCTGTTACAGGCTCCGCCATATACGATCGAACCATAATCAAGTTTAGATCGTACCAATGATCGATATAGGTGGAGGAGGGTAGTTTGATCCCTCCCCACTTTGAGTTGGAAACAACTTTCAACAAATCAAGGGCCTTCAGGCATTTAGCTTTAAGAGATTTAATGTGCGGCAAAAGGTTAAATGGGAGTCAAAAATTAGACCCAAGAACTTGGCCTCCTTCACAACTTTGATGGGAGTGCCATTTAAAGATAGTTCTGGGTCTTCATGCGGCTTATATTTTCTACAAAAGTGTAGACAATTAGTTTTGGACTTGGAAAATTTAAAGCCGTTCTCAACACAGCATTTATTTATTTTATTTAAACACAACTGCAATTGCCGTTCAATAGTATGCATATTTTTACCACGACAAGAAATATTAAAATCATCCACAAAAAGTGATCCATCGATTGAATCGTTTAAAACCTTGGATAAACTGTTGATTTTGATACTAAATAAAGTGACAGACAAAATACTGCCTTGAGGGACACCCTGATCCTGATTATAATGATCAGACAGGGTTGAACCCACTCGGACTTGAAATTGTCTGTCTTTTAAAAACTGTGTTATAAAAGAGGCAAACGGCCTCTTAAACCGAAATCATGTAAATCCTTCAAAATGCCATGCTTCCAGGTCGTATCATAAGCTTTCTCAAGATCAAAGAAAATTGATACAGCATGTTGTTTATTTACTATAGCATTCTTAACAAAGGATTCTAAGCGTACCAAATGATCAATGGTACTACGATTTTCCTGAAACCGCATTGAATATTTGTTATCAGGTTATTGGTTTCAAGATACCATGTTAATCTATTATTCACCATACGTTCCATGGTTTTACAGACACAGCTAGTTAAAGATATTGGTCTGTAATTCGACGGATCTGTATGATCCTTACCAGGTTTTGGAATAGGGACTACAATGGCATTACGCCATGAGGGAGGAAAATTTCCAGACGTCCATATTTTGTCAAATAAGTCTAAAAGTGTGACCAGACATGGCTCAGGCAAGTGTTTCAGTAGCTGATAATGAATGTTGTCATCACCCGCTGCAGTGTCATGAGCTTGCTCAAGAGCTGTATATAGCTCATGTAATGAAAACAGTTCATTATAGTCTTCACCATTATTTGATTCGAAATTAAGTTTTGTCTTTTCCTGTTGTTTCTGATATCTCTGAAACCCAGGGACATAATTTGCCGATGAAGAATTTTTGGCAAGAGTTTCGCCAATTTTATCTGCAATTTGAGATTTGTCAGTAATTAAATTAGTACCATCTTTAAGATGGTGAACAGCAGATTTTGAACCTTTGCCTTTAATTCTTTGAACCATGTTCCATACCTTGGACATTGGCATTCGTGAGTTAATTTTGGAGACATAGTTCCTCCAAGATTGCCGTTTATTTTGTTTGAAGGTGCGGCGTGCTTTTGCATTCAGTATTTTAAATTTATTCAAGTTGTGGACAGTTGGGTGATGGCGGAAATATTTCTCTGCCTTTTCCTCGCTTTTCTAGCATTTTTACAGTCTGCATTAAACCATGGCTTTCGTACATGTGAGGTTGTAGAGGACTTTGGTATACACTCATCAGCTATTACATTTAAAACGTCAGAAAATACCTGAATAGGATCAGCAATATCACTGAAACATTCGGGTC